CTCCACTCCCCGCCCCTCCCCCCAAAAATGTGCCTTATTTATTTATTACAGGTATTTATACAGCGCTGACAATGTACACAGCGCTTTACATAGCGCATTCACATAACTCCCCGCCCCCGTCCAGGAGCTTACAATCTAAGGTCCCTATCCCACATTCACATCACTGTTCTTGCCGGGGAGATTTATACTCTGTTTTTTCCCGGTGACCGTTCTCACCGATACAGGACGTGAGGAAAGATCCACAAATGTAGAGTTGCCGCTAGAACAGGAAGAGGGGGAAACCCCTCCAATGGGGACACTTGTCCTGCCAACTCCTGTAAGAGAGGAGATTTCCGTCTCACTTCCTGATAGGTCTGGAGTTCCAGTCCAGTGCGATTTGCAAAAACGCTGCAAGCACTATTTTTGCAGATCACACTGGACCGGAACGCAGGCAGTAATGTGCCTGCATTGCGGGTGATCGCACTGCGTACGGGTGGGTTGGCGTGGCTGCGGTGCCATTGACTTCAATGCAAGCCACGCCCCATCCTGCCCCTTAATGCAGGGAGCCGGCCGTCTTGCGTTCCAGAGGCCGAACGCTCTGGAACGCAGACTTTGTAGTGTGAACCGGCCCTAAAGCTGAACTCCAGACAGACATATTTTGCAGTGGAGGTGGAGATCTTGCTGCGCTACCTAGCAAGTGCAGAGCACTGCAACAGGGAAAACACTCCCCAATAATCACCATTCCAACTGCGTTGGTGACTTCTCCTCGGGGGCAGGCCCATGACTCCCTGCACTTCAAAAGGATGTTACATCAGCAGAGCATTGCTGGGAAATCTCATCTGTAACCTCAGGGAGAGGCATTTTCCTCCTCTGAGATGATGCGCATGGTCCTGGTCACATGTGCCAGAGTTCCAGGAAGTAGAGGGAGGTATAGCAATCTGCCCTTAGTAAACATGGCCGCCGTGAGAGGAATAGGGAGGAAAAGATACATAAGGTATGCGAACAAAAAGCCGGCAATTATCTAGAAGTATCTGTGTGTAGATTGTCATCACTAAACATCTCTAAAGGAGTCTTTGTTATTTTCATGATGAGGGTGAAGTTCCCCTTTAAAATGAAAGCAGCTGAATTTTCAGCACGGGGAGCGATAATAAATGAGATCTGGGCGGGACGGTTTCGGGTTCCCAGCTTGGTTCCTGAATTGGTTAAAATACGAAAAGGAGAGATTATCACATTAGCACCAAACCTGCATGAGAAGCTTGTGACGGAAGCAGCCATTTCCAATTCATATACCGGAACCTAGTTGTGGGGCACAGAAGCTCTGCGACTAGTATACAGCCCATAACAACGAGAACGGCTGCTTCTTAGCCCTCGTTCACACCTGAACGTTTTGTAGCGCGTTCTACGCTCGACGAACGCTCTACAAAACGCTCAAAAATATAAATCGCATTGTATTCAATGGTCTCGTTCCCACCTTGGCGTATTTCCGCCCGTCCCTAACGCGCTACAAAACGGCCCCCGCCTGATCCAGGTACCAGGTACTACTTTGGGCCGTTTTGTTGTGCGTTTCCATTGGGATACAGCCAAGTAGCCTTTGGAAACGCGCGACGGTCGTGCAACTTTTTTTACAGCGAATCGCGGTAAAAAAAACGCGCGACAGACGCGCATATGCAATACGCCTAGGTGTGAACGAGACCTAAACCCCCCACGGAGTCCCTTCAAGACGAATAGTAACTGTGCAGCGCAGGAGGGAACAACTCCGGCACTCCGGCTGCGGTGAAATGACAAAACCCATCATGCCTGTTCCTCTGGGAGTCATGCCGGTAGCGGTCAGCGTTGCAATGCCTCATGGGACTTGTAGTTCAACACCAGCTGGAGTGGTGAGGTTGCCTGACCCCCGGTGTCACCTGAACTTCTCCCTCTATGCCGGTATACGGAGACTTGCATAACCGAGGACCGAGGTCAGGGCTGCTGTACCAGGAGGAGACCTACGCTGCACTGACTATCGCCAACACGGCCTGGTCTTTGGACGTTTGACTTCGGTCTCCCTCCTATCGCCGGTGATAACGAGTCCAACTGTTATCACATATGAACCATTTCCCTGGAAAACAATATTGTGAATACAGAGTCCAGACGATCACTCCATACGGCTTCAATCTGTGCCGCCAACAAAAATCACTTGAACGCGGGATGAAGGTCCTGATTAGCGGTGGAGTAATCTGTTCATCTAGATATCAGGAGCCGTTATCACAGAGAAGGGAATAATGACCGCGCTGATGACTCTAACAATATGAAATGGAGGGGGAAAGGTGACGGCGGTGTTATCCGGGGTCATTACAGGATAAACCTGGGGAGGGAGACGAGAATCCTCCCAGGACTTACCCGAATGTTCAGGCTGGCCACCACCACGTCTCCTGTCGGGGTGACGATGGGGATATTCTCACAGATTATTCCGTTCTCCACGTCCACCACTTGCCCTGATAATACATCACAATTATCGTCAACAACAGCAAAAAGGTTTTGTTTTTAGTGTCAATATTTTATTTATCTTATGTGGGTTTTTTTTTTTTTTATTAACAAACATGGAAAACAACAAATAAAAAAACAACATCAGCGAGTAATCAATAATGACAATATTTGATTGAAAAACTTTTTTTTTCCTCAAACATGTAAACAAAACAAAAACAATAATTACACACACACCTTGAAAAATCTGCTTGTCTGTGACGAGAGGACGGCGGAGCAGCTTCCCGGGTGTTCTAGTTAAAGGAGAACTATGGTGTCAGGGCTTTTCCCCCATGGTTCTCCTCAGGGTAACGGGGGGACACAGACTAGCGTCCTGCCGTCACCCTAAGCTCAGTATATAGGGAGCTACAGCTCGCGGTATACTGAGACGCCGCAGCCGGAGCGGATCCCGACAATTATGCCGGGATCCGCCCAGCTGCGTGACTGACAGCTGGCTCCTCCTATCTAGAGGCAGAGCCAGCTGTACCCGCCCCTCCCCCGTCCGTTCCGCCAGTCAGCGCTGGCGGATCGGAGCGGGGAGGGGGGAATCCAGCCCCTCCCCCTGTCACGCAGAGAGCCGTGACAGGATCGAGAAGTGAGCGAGCGCCGGTATGTGTTCCTGATCTACTGAGCCGACCTGTGACAGTCTCATTGTCACAGGTCGGCTAGAACTATGAGGAGGAGTGAAAAGCACCCCCCAGCGTTCGCTCACCTCTCGATCCTGTTAGTATACCGCGAGCTGTAGCTCCCTATATACTGAGCCTAGGGTGATGGGAGGACGCTAGATTGTGTCCTCCCGTTACCCTGAGGAGAACTATGGGGAAAAGCCCTGACCCCATTGTTCTCCTTTAAAGAAGCATAACATTTAAAAAAAAAAATTGCGCCTATTACATATCGCCGCGAACGTCGCAGTGAGAACAATAATTCTCAGGCCATCAATCGCTGACAACACTAAACTGATGAGCAGTAAAAGCTGTTAAAGCGTCGCCTATGGTCAATTTTCGGTGTGGTAGTTTTTTGTGATTTCGCAGGTGCGCGCAATTTGCAGGCTTGACATGTTTGGTGTCTACTTACCCGACGGGACCCCGACTTTTATATTTTAACAAAAAATATGGGCAAGAATAAATGTTTTATAACATAACGTTGGGAAAACATTTTTTTTTCTTCAAAATTTACGGTATTTATTACGATTAGATAGTATTAGTTATTTTGTCCTTTATGACTGACGGAGGCTCCGGCACAATTCCTGTAGTATCAGCAGCAATGGCCGAATGACCAGGTCACCCTCTCTTGTGAGCAAAGATGGGCAGTAAAAAGCTTTTTTTATAGGAATGATATCTTTTTATTCTATTTTATCCCCCTCCCCCCTTATTGTGGCCCATACCTTACAGATGCTTTACGATTCATATTACCAAAACATTGTGTGAAAAGACAAAATTATAGATGAGCTTCATCGCCTCTTATCCGCATGACGCCCTCTCAAAAGCTCAAGTTCCAAAAATGCCACTTCAGCAAGAAGAACTCGCACTCGTCATGTCTGGAGCTTGAAAAGAATTTGGGTGATAGCGGTGTAAGTGTTCTTTCCATCTAATCAGGTATTTAAAGGGCCACTACAGATTAATAACAAAACTATGTTATAGAAGGAAGAAAAAAACAAACCCAAAACTCGTGTTAACACGTTTGCCCCATTGAGGCAGCAGTTATGTATTCTTGGATTTTAAAGGGCAACTGTCTGTGCAACTGGCAGAACTTAAAACCTGACAAAGGGTCCAATTCCTATCTATGTCAGACAACCTACAACCGCCTTTTGGCCTGAATGGTAGAGAATGTTTAAGTCAGGGGTCCTCAAACTTTCTAAACAAAAGGGTCAGCTCATTGTCCATAAGACTTTAGGGGAACCATATTGTGGCCACTGGGAATAAAAATGCTGCCTGTGTCATTGGGATTAAACAATCCCCCGGCAATGAGCCGAAGCACAGAATGCTCCAGGGGTGGTGGTCAGTGGGGGGGAGGAACACTGCCCCATCCTCGGTATCAGGGGGGGGG